CAAACAGTATTGTCATTCCCATTTTAAAATGAAACTAAATGTTTCTATTATATGGTCTTACAGCAGTCTATACCTTTGCATGATTACCTGTTTAAGATCTATCTCCCCTGCTAGTTACATCAGGATAGGGACTTGTGGTGTGTGACTCTATACCCAGCCCAGAGATTTTCAATAAATATTTGTTCGAGGAATGAATGAGAGAGATCATATGGCTTGTCAAAGGTTGCAATGTTAAGTGGTACAACCAGGATTTGAATCCTGGACTGTTTGACTCCAGAATCTTCTGTGATTGCCCTATTCTACCCCTACCAAATACTTCCATATGTTGTCTCACTTCTGAATGCCCCAGCTCATTGTCCTTGTCTCTAAGCTGCTTGTAAGCATAAATGTACACCACCTACCAAGAACTCATCTATTCAGGAAAAACAAGCAAGAGAGCAGGAAGAAAAAATATACCATCTGGAACTATGCCCTCTTCAGCTCAGCATCCTTTTCCTCCTTGTCTGTCTACCTGTCTCCCTCTCCTCTGGCCCTACTGGCTCTTCCTACATCTGTGCCATAAAAGTGGCTCCAAGTCACCTGGCCTCTGATGGTCCTACATGCTTTATTAAGGCAACTTTATTCCACATTGTATACTAAAGGCAAACGTGTGCTCAAGCCTACCTGTCCCAGGCCCAGTGGGCGGACACTGATGAATCAGACATAACCTCAAAGGACTTACACTCAGTGGGGAGACAGACATTAGGCACAGATACAATTAACTAGAGCACAAAGCAAGATAACTTGAATGGTTTTAAAGAACTCTGAGCAATATGCTAAATGCATAAGCCTTACCTGCTTAATTATTATTCTGAAGAGTGTATCATAGAAGGTCAGAGCTCAAAGATATCATTGGCTCAAACTCTTGTTTTCCAGTGGAGGAGTCTGAGACCTAGAAAGGAGTGAGGCCTAGCTTAAAGTCTCACTGGCCATTCTGGCTGAATGAAGACTAGATTTCAAGTCTTCTGAAGCATAGCCCAAGTCTCTTTTCTCTTTTTCAGGTAGCTTCACATGTAGCAGTGCCATATCCCACTAGACCATGAAATCTTCAAGGTCAAGTCAGGTCCTTCCACCTAAGCAAACTGAACTAGGGCCTGGCATCCCCAAGACCAAGGGCTCAGGAAATGCAGTCTGCCCCAAGGCTGTCAGTACAGGCTTTTGGTCTACTACACCTAATGTATACCCTGCTTTTACCACTATGCTTCTAAAATTGTTTTCAAATATTTTTTGCAGGAAATTTTTTTTAAATGAATGTTTATCCAGAACTCTGGTTCACAAATTAGATAAAGGTGAACTAAGTCTGGCTGAAGGAAAGAGAGACCAGAGTCCCACTATTTTCCTGCCCTCAATTCCTAGAAAGAGAACTCTAGTAACACAGGTCAAAAACCTTTATTCTGGAACACAATTTTTAATGGCTTCAGATAAGCCATTTTAGAATGTAGTCCTCCACTTAACCTTGTCTTTTTATGGAAACTCACAATCCTTCTTTATCATCAATGCCAAGCACCAGCCATGTGCTCCCAGTAGAGTATGGAGGCAAATCAGATTTTCTCCTTGCTCTTCCTGCTATTCTCTTCTTCACAGAGAGGAGTTTGTCTGAAGTGCTGTGGGGGTGGAGAGAGACCCCCAACTCTGCTGGGAGGGAGGGAGGATGGCCAAGGGTAGCTTCCCCAGAAGGATCATGTAGAATGAATTGATCTACTCAGCCATTTACCAGTCTGAATCTCACAAAGGCTCTTACTTCGCTGTCCCACAGTATACCCACTAGCTACATGCACTGTTGAGCCCTTGAAATTTTGTCTAGCCATAATTCAGGTGTACTGTCTGTGTAAAGCACACACCAGATTTCAAAGACTTAGTACAAAATAATGTATATTAATTTTCATAATCAATAATTATTCTGTTGATTACATATTGAATATTTTGGATATGTTGGACTAAGCAGAATGTATTATTAAAATTAAACTTACCTGTTTGTTTTTATTTTTTTTTAAATGTTATCACTAGAAAATCTTAAGTTACATAAATACATATACATACATACATATTTCCACTGGACAGCACTGTGTAAGTCTAGCAAATGCATGCATGAGGTGGTGTATGTGTATGTGTGTGTGCACACGTGTATGTTGCTGAAAGGGGGATGATGGCAGCCAGGTGAGGAATAGTTTTTTAAGGCCAGATTGTGAAAGACAGAGTCGATTTTGAATGGCAGTCCATATCATATAGGATCGTCAAGCAGAGGGAAAAGAATGGGCAAAGATCCAACGATAAGGGTAAGCACATTATGTTTAGGGAACTCATTCTTAGAGTATGAATTCTTTTTTTTTTAAGGCATTTGTTGAGTGTTTACTTTGAGCCAGGCATTAACAGCCGGCTTTTTACATCCATTCTCATGTTATCTTCGCTACAGGACGAAGGAGAGAATATTCCATTTTTCCAAAGAAAGAATGGAGGCTCATAAAGAGTAAGCTATTTATTTACGGAGTTGTTCTTCCTGTATCTGGAAATTCTGTTGGAGACAGGGAGCCTGTGTTAAACGTCCCTCAGTTTCCCTCCACAGCGCCTAGCTCTGCATGTGACAAGCTCTCAGAAAGTTTGTGTTGAACGCGCAAGGCCTAGGAGCAGAAGCATCAGAGGGCGCGCACGAGTCTGCCCACCCTCCAGTCCCCAGGGCCCGACAGGATCTCAGGCCTGGGTGCGGCCCTTCATCCCCAAGCAGTTGCGCGCCCTGGCGAGAAGAGGGGGCGAGGGGAGCCCCACGTCTTCCATCCGCCCCGCCCCCTCCCCAGAGCTCAGGCGCATCGAGCTACTAGTTGCGGAACGACTACACGACATCCTGTTTTGGGGGCCCGCGCTCCGCCGGCGCCTCTGCTGATCTTGTCTCTCCCTGAGTGCTGACGCCAGCCTCCCTTCCCCCAGTCTCCGCACCCTCCCCAGGGGTCTGGGGCCTTCCCATCGCTGAATCACCACCACCCCGCAAATGGCTTCAGATAAGCCATTTTAGAATGTAGTCCTCCACTTAACCTTGTCTTTTTATGGAAACTCACAATCCTTCTTTATCATCAATGCCAAGCACCAGCCATGTGCTCCCAGTAGAGTATGGAGGCAAATCAGATTTTCTCCTTGCTCTTCCTGCTATTCTCTTCTTCACAGAGAGGAGTTTGTCTGAAGTGCTGTGGGGGTGGAGAGAGACCCCCAACTCTGCTGGGAGGGAGGGAGGATGGCCAAGGGTAGCTTCCCCAGAAGGATCATGTAGAATGAATTGATCTACTCAGCCATTTACCAGTCTGAATCTCACAAAGGCTCTTACTTCGCTGTCCCACAGTATACCCACTAGCTACATGCACTGTTGAGCCCTTGAAATTTTGTCTAGCCATAATTCAGGTGTACTGTCTGTGTAAAGCACACACCAGATTTCAAAGACTTAGTACAAAATAATGTATATTAATTTTCATAATCAATAATTATTCTGTTGATTACATATTGAATATTTTGGATATGTTGGACTAAGCAGAATGTATTATTAAAATTAAACTTACCTGTTTGTTTTTATTTTTTTTTAAATGTTATCACTAGAAAATCTTAAGTTACATAAATACATATACATACATACATATTTCCACTGGACAGCACTGTGTAAGTCTAGCAAATGCATGCATGAGGTGGTGTATGTGTATGTGTGTGTGCACACGTGTATGTTGCTGAAAGGGGGATGATGGCAGCCAGGTGAGGAATAGTTTTTTAAGGCCAGATTGTGAAAGACAGAGTCGATTTTGAATGGCAGTCCATATCATATAGGATCGTCAAGCAGAGGGAAAAGAATGGGCAAAGATCCAACGATAAGGGTAAGCACATTATGTTTAGGGAACTCATTCTTAGAGTATGAATTCTTTTTTTTTTAAGGCATTTGTTGAGTGTTTACTTTGAGCCAGGCATTAACAGCCGGCTTTTTACATCCATTCTCATGTTATCTTCGCTACAGGACGAAGGAGAGAATATTCCATTTTTCCAAAGAAAGAATGGAGGCTCATAAAGAGTAAGCTATTTATTTACGGAGTTGTTCTTCCTGTATCTGGAAATTCTGTTGGAGACAGGGAGCCTGTGTTAAACGTCCCTCAGTTTCCCTCCACAGCGCCTAGCTCTGCATGTGACAAGCTCTCAGAAAGTTTGTGTTGAACGCGCAAGGCCTAGGAGCAGAAGCACCAGAGGGCGCGCACGAGTCTGCCCACCCTCCAGTCCCCAGGGCCCGACAGGATCTCAGGCCTGGGTGCGGCCCTTCATCCCCAAGCAGTTGCGCGCCCTGGCGAGAAGAGGGGGCGAGGGGAGCCCCACGTCTTCCATCCGCCCCGCCCCCTCCCCAGAGCTCAGGCGCATCGAGCTACTAGTTGCGGAACGACTACACGACATCCTGTTTTGGGGGCCCGCGCTCCGCCGGCGCCTCTGCTGATCTTGTCTCTCCCTGAGTGCTGACGCCAGCCTCCCTTCCCCCAGTCTCCGCACCCTCCCCAGGGGTCTGGGGCCTTCCCATCGCTGAATCACCACCACCCCGCACTTCCCCGGGCCCTGGGGCAGGGGTGGGGACTGCCCCAGCCTGATCCATTCTGACCAACCCCCAGTCCTAGGCCACCGCTCGATCCCTGGGCTTGACGGGAGTAAGCAGGCCCAGGGGTACCTATTCTCAGCATCTTCCCGCGCGGGTTGGTGGGGGCGAGATACAGAGGGAGACAAAAGCCTAGTGCCTAGGCTACCGCCTCTTTGGGGGTAGGGGTAGCCAGGAGGAGGCGTGGAGGACTGACCTTAAGGGCCTCAGAGGCAGAGAGCTAGGGTGAGGGGCCCAAGCCGGGCCGGGGGCAAGGACCGCAGGAGGAGACCAGGGGCGGGGGCCCAGCCCTCGGACTTCCTGGTGGTTGGGGCCCGCCTCGGCCCGCCCCCCGCGCCCCGCCCCCGCCCCCCCCCAACTTCCTCCGGCCGCCCGCTCTCACTTCCTTCTCGAGCCCGGAGCCGCTGCCGCCGCCCCCAGCTCCCCCGCGGCGGGGAGGGCACCAGGTGAGGTTCGGTGCCGGCCGGCAGGTTGGGGGTCCGGGGGAGGGGATCCCGGCTGGCCTGGGAGCAGGCGCGGGCCCGGGAACTTTGCTTGGTGGGACCGCGAACAGGAGGTGCTCGGCTCACCCCAAGTTGGGCGGGCGCGGCCGGCGGGGCGGGGACGGGGCCACTGCGAGCCGGCGGCGGCTGGGTGAGGGTGGGTTCCTGTACCGAGCGCTGCCGTATCCGCTCCCGGGAGCCGCGAGGGTCCCTGAGATCGGAGGGTCTCCCGCTCTGAGAGAAAAGTCTCTTAAGTGGGTGAGCTCAGAGCTGGGTGATGGGACTCAAAGGTGGGGTGCCCTTAGAAGTTACGGTGGGTGCTCCGAAGTGTGTGAGGGGAGGAGGCCTCAGGGCTGAAGAAGGTGCTGCCTCTGCCCCGCAGCTGTGGCACTTGTGAGATTGAGATGGGGGCAGGGGGCGGTGACTGTGGTCTCGGAAGCCCTAGACTGCTGAGAAAGCGCTCCCTTCCTGGAAGATCGATGCCAATCTAGACCCACACTCAACAGGCTGCAGCCTAAGGTCCTCTACACTCAGGAGGGCGGCGGAGGCGGGGAGTGGGGGTGTTGGTAAGCCCCTCTGACCCCAATCCTCTCTGTAAGTCTGCTTTTTGCGACGCAACCTCTCCATCCCTGAAATAAGCAACAGGTATTTAGTTAGCAAATATCCACTGCGCCTATAAGACCAGTGCTTGGCCTGGCTCTTTTGGGGAAAAACTGCAAGGAAAGGGCCTGGTCTTGTCCTGCAACTAGAGGTAAGAGAACTCTCATTCAGAGATACTTACTGATAGTCCTGACAAGATGGCATCACTGAGACGGCGACTATGTTTGGGAGATGGAATGAGGCTTCTAGGAAGCAGTCAGGGCTCTGGCCTTGGGAAATGATTGGGAGCCAGCAACTAGTCTTTCCCCACCATTGTTAGTACCTGAATTCTATGCATTCTGTTTTCCTCCATTTCTTCAGAGTGGCAGACTCTGCATCACCCTTTTACATCCTCTTCAGTCTTTTTTCCCCAAAACACACAGTCATGCCTCGGCCCAGACCTCTCATCTACCCTGCCCCTCTGTCCACTTCTGCCCCCTGCAGACTCCTTCCTTGTCCACTTTCTAGCTCCTGCACACACATCCACCCTCTTGCTTTTTCCATCTCCTCTCATTCCTCTCAATCCCTGGCTCAGAGGCAGGCTGCAACCTCCCAGTGATAGAGATAATTAAAGGGCTGGAAAACCTCTCTATGTATATGTGTATGCAAGTGTGTGTCTGTACATCTTTATCTCTTGGAGACAAAATAACGGCCCCTCAGTCTTGAGAGAGCCCAGACCAGGGGAAGCCAGCAGAATGAAGGGAACCTGCAGTGGGTGAGGTTGTGGTTAGGTAGGAGGAAGCAGTCTGTAGCAGTCAGGGTAGAGTGACACAGGAATAAGACTGGTGAGAGAGGCTGTGGGAAATAAAACCCCAACCCTTGGGTGCTTGATCAACAGGCAAGGCCAGGGGACAGCCTGAAGGTGTCTGACTCCAGTGCTTACTGGATCAACTACTGTTTTGTGGGGAGAATGGGACCATGTAAGCTACGTGTGACAGAAGGGAGAGGGGCAATGCAGGATTTGGAGGGAAGACGAAAGCTAATCAATTTCAATCTGAGCTGTTTTCTTTCTAGCTCAGAAGAAAAGGGGTGTGAAGCAAAGACGTTTGCCCCTTTTCCCTGCTGCCTTTGGTCCTGTTCAGGCTGGGAACCCACATGCCCTGGGCTGTATCAGGGCCTTAGTGACCAGGAAGCCCTCTGGAGTTCTGCTGACCCCTCTGTCTTCAGACATCCTGAATATTCCCCCTCTCAACTAGGACCCTACTCCATCTTTCAGGAATTTCTCCAAACATCTAGCTTCAGTCCAGCCTGGCTCTATAAGCTCCTGTTGTCACCATTCTACAGCTCCTTCCTCAAGCCTTTAGGATGCATGCTAAGAAGTCCTGCTTCTGCCTTGTCTCCTCAGGTCTACTCTATTCATTTCTCTCCACTAGAAAGAAAACAGAAGTAGAGGGGAGCAAGTACTACTTTTGGGGGATTCCCAAGCACAGCTAGATTTAAAGGTTACCCCTGTTTCCCATTCTGTCCTCTTCCTTCTCACAGTTGTCCCTCTCCCATGAATTGTCCCTCTGCCACCCACCTGTCTCTCCTACTCTCATTTCTGGGAGGTATAGGGGGTGTGGCCCCAGGAGGAAATCCCAGGGACCTGCATAAAATCCTAGTTCAGGGAAGGTACCTACTACATGCAAGGCACTTTCCAAACATCACAGCTCAGTAAAAAAGCATCCAGGAGCCCTGACTTCCCACCTGCCAAACCAGTACTTACTTTAAGATTCTGTATAACTGAGCAACCGACAGGCTCAAAAGGTAAAGATAGGATGGATGACACAGAGGTTCTCCCAGGCAAGATCTGGCCCTAATTTCATTAGCTCAAAGTCATTGCTAGAAAATTATGACCAAGGTGGAAGGGATCTAAGTGAGAAAATATCATGAGGGGTGGGAGTGCCTGTAACCTAGGAGGCTGCCATTAAGGTTTTTTCTCTAATGAAATATAATCAAGGTTGTGACATGAAAAGGAGTGGCTGGTGTGAGATTGTCACATATCCTGGTTGGGAATCTAGGATATGGAGAGTGTTTCTATCACAGTATCAGGGAAGATGAGGTGGTTGGTGTAACTTTTAGGGGGTCATAAGGAGGAATATTTGAGAGTTGTGACTATAGTGAAACAATTGGGAAGATGTTAGAATGTGGATGGCTGGGCAACTGGAAAGATGGGGGCCTGGGCACAGACTGAAGGCCACCCCCCCCCCCTCCATATACAGTACAGACTCACTCACTAGTGGTGACACTTGTAGGGGTCCATGAAGAGGGAAACCAAAGACAAAGCCTGGGCCACCTCCCCAGAACAGATTGGTTTTCCTGTCCAGAGTCTAGCTTCCCCTTTTGTCCTGATATCATGGGGGGAGAGCATCTCCCCAGGAACTAGAGCCTAGAGAAGGAGCTCCTCAGCTGCTGCAGGCAAGGGTGGCTGTCCAGTAATGTCAGTTCTAAATCATGAATGCCTCAGTATGGTCTAGGCATGAGAGCTTTGGAACTTGGAAGCAAAACAGTTCCAACATCACCCTGACCCCTTTGGCCTGTTTCCTAAAGAGATAAACCATGAGAGGGTCTTCCTGAATGGGGTTAGAGAGATGGGCCCATTCTCAGGCCTGGGTAACAATCCTCACCTTCTCTGCTTTGTGGAAGTGACATCTGGCTGGAGGTTAGGATATCCAGGTCCTTATCCTGGATTTGCTCCCAACTCTGTATTACCGTCCTCAACTTTGTCTCTTGGGGCTCAGCTTCAACATAAGGAGTTGCCTATCAACACACCCAAAGAGCATACAGGATACTGATAGCTCTGACTCGCCTCCCCCAGGATGCTCCCCAGAGCAGTGCCCTCAGGTCTGGCTCCAGCCTCCAACAGACAGGCCTGAGTAGTCTCTAGGTAATCTGTCCAGGATAAGAACTGCGGCCCCTTTCCCCAAAGCACAAGGATTCTTACAGATTGAGAGAAGAAAAGAGGGCAAAGAGTGGTGGGGATGTTGACAGCGGGCAGCAGGATGGGGGAGTACCCTGTGCCTGCTCCAGCTCTGCCCCACCAACGGTGGAAAATAGATGCCGGAGTTTCCTCCCTGACGTTTTTTCCCTTGTGGAAACCCCCTCAGGCCTGGGGTGGGGCTGAAGGGCCCTGCGGCCCTGGGTGTCTCTGGGTGTTTTCAGGTGGGGGAGGCAGGATTGGAGGATGGCACTTCTGTACAGCCTCCTGTGAAATGAGCAGAGGCGAGGAAGTGCCTCTTCACAGGCCTTTCCTGGGCCCAGGGCTGCGGAGCTGCTGTGCAGGGAGGAGGGGCCAGGAAACAAGTATTGAGCCTTCCTCTGTGCTGCCCCGTGGGGGAGGGGACAGTCTCCTTAGCTCCCTGAGCCAGAGCTGCCCCGACCCTAGGGCTCACCCTTGTGCTGAATGGTGAGAGAAGAAAGAAGGGAATTGGGACTTCGTGAGAGGGTCTCACCCCTCCACAGTTTTCCCAGCTGTGACTGTCTTGTGTACCCCCACTTCCTGCGCCTAGTGGGCAGAATCAACTCACTCTCACCTGCTGCAGTGCAGGATCCTCTGCAGTGGCCAAAGGGCCAAGAGGTGAAGATTTTCCAGTGTGGAGTTTTTTTTAAGGCTGGGAACTAGGCTCTCTTGGGTTCTGTCGTTGCTGATGGGGAGAAAGGGAAGAAAGAGAAGAAAGACTCAAGGCTTGGCCTGGTCCCAGCCCCACAGTGACCTCACGTCTCCCCCAGCTTCCTCCTCCTAGCCCAGCTGCAGTCAGCTGCAGCCCCTTTGAATCTCTTCATATCACCTCGCCTCCATCCCTTCAAAGCAAATACATGTGAAGACTTGCAGAACTTCTGGAGCTGTTTCCAACACTGACCCTGACCCCTTGACCAAGGGCTTCATATATTCCCAGTCCTTAGCTTTTCCTATCCATCTTCCTCCTCACCTCTTGGCTAGCTGTGCTCCGCATTGTCCCCTCACCCTTCCAGTTGAGGACAGGGCAATCTAGACTGTGTTTGTTACCCTAAATTATACACTTTGGGGAGGAGGAAGTTGGTTGACCTTGTCTTGTGTCTCCTGGGCATGGAGGCTCTTACCTGTCCCAGAAACAAAATCTGGCTTGACAAGGGAGATGGGTGTGAGTCTGCAGCTTTTGCTCAGCCCTCTGCTGGGCTTCTGGAAGTAAAAAGGACAGACTTCCCTCCTCATAAGGCATCCAGTTAGTTCAGTGCCGTGAACCGTATAAACAGTGCTGGGGAAGGTAGGGCAGGAGAGGGGCTTGCTGTGGTGTCCTGGAGAAGCTGGGGAACAGAACTGTACCCTGAAAGACTGGGAAGCTCTGAAGGTGGGGAGAAAAGAGAGC